CGAAAACGAACGCTCGGGCAATACTTTTACTTTTTAGTGACCTGGAAATTTGCATTTCAAAAAGGCAGGGAAATTTGATGGAGACTCAAACTTTTGATGCAAAAACGCATGATCGCACCGGCTCGCCTGGTGCGTTCCAGCCTGGGTTTTAAATGGGAAAATGATGCAAAAACTCATGATCGCACCGGCTGGCTTGGTGCGTTCCAGCCTGGGTTAAGCGTTGCTTAGAGTACGATAAGCAAAACTATCGCTTATACAAAAAATTTAGGTCGTTTTTGGTACTAAGATCAGACAGATACAAACTAACGGGACGAAACACCCTTATCCTTGCTATTATCATATATATGGCATCCTTGGAGTGGGTGAAATACGGCGAAAGATCGAACACATTGTAATATGAAAAGATGGAAAAATGATTTTGCTCGCACTAGAGTGGGGACAGAGGAATGTTGGCGGAATCGGATTTGAAGTGGGTAGTTCAGATCAGCACTTGTCAGCTCTGTTCGTTACGAAAAGGTGTACTTCTGCTTAAGTTAGATTCCAATAAAACCACTCAAAACCGTCCAGGCCTATGTTCCCTTCATGGTCAGCAATGAAGATGAGGTGAAAAAGTTCTGTGCCGAGACTCGAATCCACATTAATCGTTAAATCCATATATACGGTCGTTGCTGAGGATTTCAATGCATAATCCGTTACAGGAGATATATATATGTATATATATATGTATGTATACATATATGTATATATGTATATACATACATATACATATACACATATACATATATATACGTATATATGTATATATATATGTACATGTATTGGAAGGAAAACATATATTCCAGTACAAATATAAACGGTATCCCTACCTCTCGATCAGTTTCTGTGTGCGTGTTCCCTTAGTTTTGTCTTCAATAACTTCTATTTAAGCACGAAACTCACCCAATTTTTGAGCGAGTTTTTCGGCAAGCGTAGTTTTTCCAGTACCGGGTGTACCAGTTATCAAAATATTCGGTGCTTTACGTGTTTCTGGAGTTCCCATTATTGCTTCAGTTGGACGACTTCAATTGCAAGTATATTCCAGTCAAGCTGAAATCAAGCTCGAATCAAAACAAAGAATGCGGGAAATGCATGCGCAAGATGAACAATCTACTTAGACCATAGGTGGATCTAGGAGGGCGATTTTTCAAATCCACTCCTCCCTTAGTCGCCACAACTCCCCCCCCCCCCTTCC